CGATTTTGATTGCAGGACGAGGCCTGTATCAGGGAGAGGGATGGCCAGGAGGGTTTGTGCGACTCGAAAGCCTGCGAGGAAGCCTCGAAGCGGATGGTGGCGTTCATGAGGAAGGGGATGGATCCTTGCAAGGACTTTTATCAGTTCGCGTGCGGCGGTATTCGCGATCAGCAGCCGTATCAACCTAGCTCGAGCTTCAACATGCTCCAGGCGAAGGTTGACGATCATCTTCACAGTGAGTGAACCCATTCTCCGTTCCTTCCTCCGTTTTTCTTCTTCTTCTTCTTCTTCTTTTTTTCTTTTTTCTTTTTTTCCATTAAAACACTCTTGGAAAGTTATTCGAGAACTCTGTTTGCGAACCTCTTTTCCGAACGAAGGAAAATAGTTACGTGAATATATATATATATATATGTTACATGATATATATATATCCATCCACGTTTAAGATAATAATAATAATGATGATACTTCTTTTTGTTAACGAGCTTTCACGTTGTGCTTGTTTACGTTAACTTACAATTAAGCAGAAAAGAAAATATTAGGAGTAAATTAGGTAGTAAATGGGATAGAAGAGTTTTAGAATTGTGGATGAAATTTAAGATAAATATTGTCAGAAACATTTTTACAAGTTAATAAGTTGCAAAAGAATCATCCCAATTTTACGTAAAAATATTACGAAAATTATTTTACGTTATATTTTTTCACATTTCGTGACATTTCGTTCGAGGCTCGATCGATAAAACCAAAATTTGAATGTCGAAATTAATTTCTTGCCAATTAATTGAAAAAAAAAAAAAAGAAAAAAGAGGAGGGAAGCTTTTCCACCAAGTTTCAACTCGAGCACTCGAGGAAGGGATAATTGATTCAGAAGCGTGGGCAAATTTTCCCTCCGTCATTTAAACTTTCAATTAACCAATACTCAGCAGTGTATTCGAAACGAAAGTTTCTGATCGCGTCGCCCCCTCCCCTCCCCCTTTGTTTTGAAATCAATTCGCATCATCATCGCGAAACTCTTGCTCGTCACAGACACATCCTCCGCTCTCATTCTTCATCATCGATTCATTTCAATCCTTTTCGTTCAATCCATTCTTATCTTGATCTGTTTCTCTCACTTATTTATATTCACAAGGGATGAAACGTCGGCCGTTTAAAAATTTCGTCGCTTCCCCGCCTTTTCCAATCGTATCGTCTTGGATCTCTTCTTACGTAATCTGTTGCTTCAACTATCTTATTTTTTTTTATGGCTTCCACCACGAGGGAAGGAGGGTTAATCGAACGAGTTTCGAGAGAGGGTTGAAAAGTTTAAATTTATCGATATTATCGGAGAGAAAAAAATGTGTTTGGATTCGTATAAAATCTTGTCCACGATTATTTTTCTTTTCTGTTCTCGCTTCTTAAGAAACTGTTTGAAGATATTTTGGGAATTTACTTATCAAGTATCCACTTCGTTATACGATCATCTTTTATCGAGTTTGATATTTGCAAGGTTTAAAAAAAATTAAAATTCTCTCGAGGAGATAGAGAGATAGAATTCAGGGATATTTATACGAAGTCTCTATTTCCATTATGCGATCGTTTCCAAATCCAATCAAATATTTAAAAGCAGAATATTAAAATACTTTCGAGATGAAATTTCGCCCCAGAAATAAACGATTGTCTGTTAGGAGGATTAAAAATATTTTAAGTGTTCCACGTTACGAAATTAAAATTAATTTTGCCGGGCGTGTTATTAAAATAATACGAATCCCGAATCAATTCTTTTCGATTCGCGTTATCGAAAATTCGCGCGTTAAACGAAACGAATTATCGAGATTCCAATATATATTTCGCGGCGAGTACGTGCGAGTAAACAGAAGACAGAAGAATCGGGGGGATATGTAGGTCATACGCGATTAAAAGAGCTGGACGTGCATACGTCACGATGCGCTGACGTAGGGGATGAAAAACAACCCCTGCCGCGTGTCCACTCTGACGAAACATCGTGTCGAAAAAAGTCGAATTGTTTCGCTCGTACAATTGTGTCCAGATAATAATTTAATACTCCGAAATTTTGACAATCAGCTTCGAAAAGCTATGCATGGACTACGACTGGACTTTCACAACTCGTGCAGAGATAACGTTTACGCGTTATACGAAACCGCGTATCTTTCGGTATCGTTGAGAATTTTCGCTGCTTTACTTGGAAAGCTCGTAAACTTAATCTCGAGTTGTTCAAGTTTTTATCCCTCTGCGAATTTAAATGTTGAAGAGATGTTAAAGAAAATGTCCGATTCGAGCAAGCAAACGTTTGAAAGAATAAAACGATATTTATATATATATATAAAAATAAAAGAAACGACACGCGACGCTTTCGTTATTTCGATAAATAATTTTCCATCTTTCAGTCAGGTCCGGTTTAGGTTTAGAATTTTTGGTTGAAGGTTTCCTCTCTTTAAAGAAAGAGAATCCGCTTCCCTAAACTCGAAGGGTGTGCTTCCTCCCCGTTTTGGATGAAAGAGGGAGAAAAAGGTCGACGGAAATGAAGATTTACAGGGACGGAGAGTCTATGAAAAAAAGACGCGGCGTGCTCAAAGAATGACACATGGATGTCCCGCGTAATAATTCATCGCTTCTCTTGCTCATTTTTTTTCGCGCGAACGAAGCACTCATTCGAGCTTGTAAATCTTTCTCCGTCCAGCATACGTGCTCGAATGGAGATCTCAACGCGAAAGAAGGGATCATCCCATTGTGTATTTTTCGATACGACTTCTTCTTTTTTTTTCTTTTTTTTCTTTTTCTTTCTTTCTTTCTTTTTTTTTTTTTTTTTTTTTTTTTTCTTTCTTTCTTTCTTTTTTTTTTTTTTTTTTTTTTTTTTCTTTCTTTCTTTCTTTTTTTTTTTTTTTTTTTTTTTTTTCTTTCTTTCTTTCTTTTTTTTTTTTTTTTTTTTTTTCATCTCAAAAGCGAAACGAATACCAGATACATTTATGAAATTGTTCTCGACCGAAAAATGTCTCTCTGAGAATGGAAACACTTGGACTCGCTCGTCACGCGGCCATTTTCTCCTCGTTCTCGCTTATCATTTTTTATTTCGACCAGAGATAGATGTCTCATCCGACATTTCGGGCAACAAAAAGAAGGACGGAAGAGGGGAATCGAGACGAGAAAGTTTGACGAGAAAGAGTTTAAAAATCAACTTCTTCGTGTCGTAACACGAAAATAGTTGGCGCCACCATTTTTTCCAAATTTCTCATCAACCCGAATTTTCTTTGGCTCTCGTCTTGGAAAAATTTTGGAGATTTTTTTCATCTCGATCCTTCTTGCCAAAAATCACGTTGAATGAATCATATCGAGTCGAGGATTCCTCTGGCCAAATTTTTTTTCCCCAAGGATTGTCCTCGATGTTTCTTTTGTAAAACACTTTTATCTTGAAAATTTTTAGACAAGATGCGTCCCTTCTTCAGATTCCTTGGAATAATACTTTACGTATGCCAATCGATCGAATGAATTTAAAATGGCAGAAGAATTTAAAACGTTTCTTAACTTAGAGAAATATTTATCCTTTTTCCGTTTGTGCACGTCGAATAAAATTCTGTTCCAAACATAGAAAAACATTTCAATTACGCTCAATCGCTCGTTAATTATTTATAATCGAATTATAATGCAATAAATATATTAAATACACTTACTGTAATAAGCATTCTTCACGTCTTTTATTTTAAATAAGCGAACGAATAAACGGGAAGGCGTTAGAAAGATGCGTAGAAAGAAAGATGAAAATTTCCTCCATTAACGACACGAGCAATGGAAACCTGTATCAGTTCGAAATCGTCTCGTACGTATCTTTAAATATTGGCGAAGCCTTAGTGCCTTATGCTGAATTTACGTAAGAACAAAAAAGAGGGTCACAAACTTGATTAATCCAACCTGCTTAATGGATCAAGCTCGTACCGTTAAGCTAGAATCACGTCGAAGGTTCCTCCATAATCGATTCAATTTTACGATTTTACATGATGCATACGCATCGTGAAATCTAAACATCACAGAGATCGATCAATCACACATTTTCTACGTTTATTCCATTATTCTACTTGTTTTTAAAATTTCGAAAAAAAAAAGAAAATCTTGTGCTAATTTTAAAGATCTGTTCTATTTTTTCATTTCATTTAACATACATAAAAATTCATTATTTTTGTACAATCCTTTTAGAGATGATCCTATCGCGGATTGTGTATTATTATTTGGATTTCGTGCAACGTTTTATGACTCACGTAGTTTGTATCGAAAAATCGATAATCTGTTTCGAATTCTGATACCTGTATGTATAATTAAATTAGAATAGTGTTTTCCTTTTGCTTGGTTTTAGGATAAGACACGGTTCGCTTAATCCGCCATTGTTCTTGTCTCAGCCGCGAAAATTTAAACGAGGCCGCAAGCGGTTCGTTTCCCCTTTTATCTGGAAGGGAGACGTACTGATTAAGCGGGAAAGTTGGTTTCATATTTCACATAGGTAGATTCAACCAAGATACGCGGCAACACACTCTGACCGCAAATTCGATAATCTCTCAATCTCAAAGCGAAATTAGCTTTATCGTATCGGTGGCCCCCGCTCGATCTATTTCAACGTGTACAATAGACAAACACAGTGTTTTCGCTTTTTGCTTTTCGAACGCAAATAAATCGATATTCGTTTTTGTTCCTTGGTCGGTTGATGCGCGCCATTGTGAGCATAAGATTTATCAGACTTTACGTATTATGCTTGACGTGTGGGTTTATCGACATACTTGCGTCAGTTCCGTAAGAACAAATACACGTTTATCTTTCTGCAAGCAATTTTTAAAGCAGAATATTTCTAGAAGTTTGTATTATTGTATGCATATCATTTTCTTGCTTGTGTATCAAACAAGTTATTTGAGTTTGAATTTATTATTCAAGCATACGTTATAAATATGCATGAAATAAAATTATTGTATATTGAAACGTTATTTCTTCTAAATTTGATACATTAAATTGCACTCGTTATTTCAAAGGAAGAAAAGTGAAAAATTTTAACAGCAAATAAAGGGGGATTGTTCTTCTCTGGACGTTTGTTTGTACGTTGAAGAATATAGTTGAAATGGAGAGAGATTGAAGTTTTCCCGGCAATATTGTCATTTGTATAAAATTTCGTTGTTAATCCAGAATGCAAATCGCAAGTAGGTCTTAAGCGGAGTCGCCTAGTTACCGTTTCATGGAAATTTTGTTTATAACCGCAACTCG